TTAATTTATAATAAAAATATATTTAAACACTCTTAACTTATACCTTACAATATCAAATTAAGAAAATTCTATATATATATATTTGCTCGCGTGCGTGGCAGGTGCCACCTTCCTCGAGGATTGTGAGTCCAGTAATCTACTTGATAAGACGTCAGAGGGGCTACCGACCATACACGTGTCTTTCAATAATTAGAGATGATGCCACGCAAGTCGGCATCGCCCCCACAGATATTTTCTTTTGTTTGGTTGAAAACAGGCAATGGGCCCCACAGATTTACGTGGAGGAAATGGAAGATTTATTTGTGGGGCCCCACATTCAGTTATTCTCGATATCCAGACGGTGCCACGAGAGAGAGAGAGAGAGAATTGCCGCAAGTACGCTATTATCCTTCTAACTAACCAAGCATTATGGTGTCCGTGAGGCTGTTTGTGTCATTTACTAGGCTTTGGTGGTGGGATTATTTAGTTTGGTGAGTGTAAGGAAACAGAAGCATGGGGCATGTTTATTGTCACATGGGCAACGAAAGCAATATAATTATATAATGTATTGTGATGTTATAAATTTATAAATAATATTAGTTATTATAAGATTAATTATTTTTATTTAAAAATATTATTTATAATTTATATATATATATTTATTTATTTAATAATATATTATGACAATTAATATATAATTGTACATAATATTATAAAATGTTAAAGACAATATAAATAGAGATTAGTGCCTATTAATTTTAATTTATAAAAAAATTAGAATTTCAAACTATATTTAAAAATTGAAATTTCAATTCAAAATTAAAAAATCACTCTGTTAAATGTTGACATTTTTATTTAGAAATTGATTATATATTATAATATAATTAGTTGTTAAATATAAATATTAATATTTAATAAAATAAATTTTTAAATTTTAGAACTTTAATTTATTTAGAGAGTTGAAACCAATATATACTTTTCTCATATAAATAGAGGTTATCTTTAAAAATATTTATTTTATTTTATTTTATATTTGTTTAACAAATTGAAATTATTTACATGTATTAAGTGAAAAAAGAAGAAAAGGGATCCACAGAACTTGAACACATCACCCACAAGAGGTGAACAACCCAAACCCAAGATACATGCTATTGGAACGCAGAGGGTTCTTCAAATATTAATTTTATTTGGTTTAATTGCTAAAACAACTTGTAATTGTAGTTATTAATTAATAACTAATAAAATAATTAATATTTATTACTTAATAAATTAAAATTAATTTACAAATTAATATTTTTAAATACCATAACTAAAATATTTATAAAAAGTTATTATAATTTGTGTAGCTATGAGAGCGAATTAAACAAGTGAAAAGGTTTTAAGAAAAAATATATGGATTTTTCTTGTAATATAACAAGAGAAAAGGTTTTTCATTTCATTTTCTTATTTTGCAGTGTGGACTAAAGAAAATGTACAATTTTAACAAGAAAATGTACAATTTTAACAATAAAATTACTATAATACAATACCTTCAATAAATTAACTTGAGAATTTAGTAAAGATACTCTAATAATTTCTTAACCCAAATTATATAAAAAATACAATTCAAACTTAAAAATATATTTTTATTTTGTCCAGATCCACCCGTTGAAAGTTGTTGATGTTGATATTGATTATGAATGGAATATATGTTAATTAACAGAAATAAGGAAAATAAGAATTGGAATCCAATTCAAAGGTTTAATCAAATGCTCAATTTAAAAAGAGGATGTGCCATTAGTTCAAATGATTCAGACAAAACGGCCGACGCCTTGCCGACCCCAGATTGATACTTTGCTTATACGCCTGCTGGAACATAAATTATATAATCTTGTCTCATTTTCTGATTTGTATGATTGTATCGAGATGGTATAGATAAGAATGAACTTACATGTAAATTTTAATATATAATTTTTATATAAAATTATTTATTAATTTTTATTTTATGATTTAAATACATAAGACTTGTGAATAAAAAACAATTCACACACATTAAAAATCTTGTTTTACAATTTAAATTAATTCAAACCGTATAACAAAAACCATCGATCGAAAGCAAACTCATAATATTAAATGACTCAAACCCATCAAATTATTTAATACTTTATAATCCAAATTAGTTAAAATTGATCGAATAATACATTTTTACACAAATAATTTTAAAATATAATTTTTTATATAAAATTTTAATAATTTATCTTTTTACTCTAAATAGTTGAATATTAAATATTTTTCTTAAAGAACGATACATAACCAGCAAGCCAATGATATTGTTTCATTAACCTGTACCGTTTTTCTAAATTAAGCCACAAATATTTTAACCTTAACACTTTATTCAGATTAAGGTAAGTGGAGAAAAGGGAAAAGAAATGAACATGTGCCGATTGCATAAACAGTTTGTTTGATTAAGGTCTAGTTCCTCAAATATGGCAAACCAATACATATATGCATACAAGCTTAAAAAGAATCAAAGTGGTCAAGATAAAACTGGGACTTCCAAACACGTCGGGCTATTACATCTCTGGATTGCACAAACTTGAAATAATTGAATTGAAGTAAATTATATCTTACACAGCAGAATTTTAGATTTTTCTTACATATGCACACCTGGAAGTCCAAGCATCTGTATATACTATGAAAACCATGCCACCAAGGTTCATAATTGTTTGGTGCTACAATTATGTGTCTACCAGTGATGCTTGCTGAGCTCCATTACAGGCATGAAGCATGGTGCAGACGTCATTTGTCTCAAGAAACTGTTCTGCATTTGTAAGGATCAGAGGTCCATATGTGAATACCATCCTCTTACACTGCCAAGGAATAATAATAGTATAGGATCAAATAATGGTCACAAAACACCAAGCAAAATCAACTAAATTGGCAGGAACTTCGTTCTTCACTTGTTTGTAAGACTATTTCGAAAATGACATATACATGCCTAATTGCCTATATGATACCTAGCATGCGTGGAAAATTAAAGTTGTCGATCTGATAGTTGCATGCAATTATGGATTTCATACACTCAATGGTTAATCATGAAAAATATATCTTGCATTTACTCAAGAGTCCCCTTCTGAAAGGTATTTCCTAAAATTCTTCTTACCTTTTTCACAATGTTATTGTTCTCCATGGAATTGCATGCCTTCAAAAGCAGCTCAATTATCTCTAGCTGTGGCAACAAAGACAGAGTGCCTAATCAGCAGAATGGTTAAATGGCATATTGCATAAGTATATCCTTATAATAAACCCTACTAATCCTCCAAAAAAATTAAAAAAAAAAAAAACCCCACATATCCAATTTGAATCAAACGTTTAAACAATGATAACACGATGCATCACAATGCTCCACACTCCACCCAACCCCGTTTCCCTTCTTTCCCCAGCCAAAAGTCCACCCAGGCCAGCCTCACCTCTGTGTTGTTGAGCATCAATTATATATCTCAAAGGAACAACAAAAGATATTTAACATGTCTTGGTCATGTAACTCAAAATAGATGGATAGAAAACCAATATGATATTGCTCTAAGAACCACTAAGCAGCTGTCAGCCAGGCTTAGCTTAAGTAGAGAGGGATTCTGTTACAAATATTAAGTTCTATGTTCGAACTGTAGAACGCAGCTCTTTCACAAAAATAAAAGGCAAATAAGAAGAGCAAGCAAAATCAAAGCAGAAAGAAAAAAAGTAAAATAAAAGGGAAAGGCAGAAAAGAGATGGGGAAAAGCACCTAAAATCTTATCTGAAACTAGATGTTTGAAGAACATTAAGAAGAAAGCCAAAAAAGAAAGAAGGTTAACAAGAAACAGAAAAGAAGATGTTACAAAATCTCAGACAAAGCAGAAATTCCATTAGGTATGAGGATATTATATCTAATTCTCCAGAATAACTAAATACCAGTAGAACTGAATCCAACATCTGGATACAACGTAAGGTGGCAAATATAAAAGTGAAAGAGCAAGCATTTGAAAGCAGTGGCATCATATATTATTTAGCTAATGATAAAAACAACAGCAAACCTCGGTGTCTGGGTCCTTCAGCTTGATTTCTAATTCGGAAACAGCATGGTGGCACATGTCACAGCTATCTTGACGGAGTTGTGAAGCAATAAGTACAACCTTTTCACAAAGGTTGACAGTTTCACAGATTTGTTCAGGCTGTATGGAGGAGACTTCTTTGAAGAAGAGAGGAACATAGTAGTCTACCAAAGTAATGCACTGTCCAAGCAACTTGTTAAGGGCAATTCAGGAGAGAGGTAAAAAAACAAATATAAACAACTGTGGGCTTCAAGACTAGAAATATTACAGAAGTTTCCAGATTTATGTTGTAACTTTTCAGTGATGAGTTGCAGTGGGTACTAAACATTTCTCATCCTACTACCTTAGGTACAACACAATGATACCTATTTCCTGTAGCACTTCAGGCTTATACACAGAACTTATTGGCCCAGCAACTGTTTAGATGGGGCAGATCTCCCATTAACTAACCTGATATGCCATGCACCCTCCCACTCTGAATCGATTATGTAAAAATAATTTAGTTTCAAAGAAGGCAATCTTACCAATCCCATTGGAAGGAGAACACTTAAATCAAAGGTCAGAACACTCTTCGACAGTTTTTTTGATATAAACAAACTATACACAGGAAAGTCCCTCAAGTCCTTTATTTATTTTGGAAGGGGGAAGGGGGAAACTGTTTTAAAGTAGTTGGTTAAAATTTTCTACTTTTGTTTTAGCCAATTAAAATTTACTACTTCCACACTTTAATTCCGAATATTCAACCAACAACGCATAATGTGCTAAACTAGTTGCTTTACCTCCTTCTTAAAAGGACGTAAACGAGAGCAACTCAAGTAAAGAGCTTCAGTGATCTCAGTCTGGGTCTTATTCTTGCTAAGATAATCAAGTGCCTCGGTAGCATATTCCTCACAGAAGGAGCACACGTTGTCATCGCGAGCAACCTTTTCTGAAGCTTGAATTGCCCCTGAACCAAGAAGCATGAAGTCAACTTGTTGAATAATTCTCACTGCACCAACCATTTTCACATTTCAATCATCCTAAATGCTAGAAGTTAAATGAAAGCAAGGAATAAATACTTTGCCAATCCAAAGAGGAGTTTACATAGAAAAATATCTAATAAATATAGATATCTAGAAAGGGGACCAGATGGGTCTTCTTATGCCATGAGGCATAGTTCCTACAAAATCCAACAAGAGCTGGCATCTGTAGTCCCCACTTGTATATTTCTCCTAGAGAAAATGGAGAAAATAACAGGGAGAGGGTATGTCTGTGTGATTAATTAACATCTGACATGTTGAAACAGGAAGAGTTAATGATGAAATAAGCTGGCTAGCAGCCAGGAATGGTACTCATGCAACCCATGATCAACCGCAAATGATTTAATTTAAACATAATTTCACTTTTTATGTTTCAAAAGATGGTAAGGAGGAACCAGAGAACTTATTCACCTAGAAGTTAAACCAAAATTAGGAGGCTAAATATCAGATTACAGAGAACCAATATTTTAGATAGTCTCTTCACCTGATATATGAGAGATCAAAACACTCCTAGTGGACAACTCAGTGGCTGCTAGTTGTCTTGCATCACCAACCAAGGCAGCACCCAACACAAAAAGGAATAAGAGCCCAACTCTTGCATCCATTATGCCTGAAGTTACAATCCTCGAATATTAGCATGAATAATGGTAAGTCTAAGAACAGTATGAATGGATTAGGACGATTATTTGAAACAACTTTGAAAGATAGGAAAAAGTTAAAAATACAATTTAATAGATTCTAAATTATAAAATGGGCCAGAGTAGCAGTCTTTAAAAAGGCAAATGACAGAAACTGTGAAAATAAAAACTCCACCTTATAATCACATTATGAATTCTCATGATTTTAAATCAAAACTACATTCTATAATGAAAAAAAAACCCAAAACCAGATAATCAGAACTCTCTTTTCTTTCATAAACAGTGATGGTTTGAACGCTAAACTCATAAAATTATGACTATTCTAGGAAGATTTCTTGTAATTACTACTTTACAAGGGACTTAAATAGTTTGACTTCCACTTTTATCCTCTATTACTAGCCAAAGGTAGCTTGTCAAATAACTATTCAGTTCACAGTACAATGTTAAGGGTTCATACAGCTATTACTGCAAGATAACTTCATCAATCATGAAACAAACAAAATGAATTTGAGGAGGTGCTTTGTAAGCTTTTCAAGGAGAAAAACTATAGAAACGGAGTTCAAACTATGCATAAGTAGGAATTCAATAGAAAACCATGTTTTAATTCCACAACCAACATTCAAAAGGAGCATCACACAACGTTCTTTTCAGGCTCATGCAAGCATAATATTAAACCAGTGGATACAACAAAGAAACATCAGAAACCCATCAAAGTTTCTTTTTTTGGTAAGTAAATCCATCAAAGATATTCGCGTGCAAACCATAACATGTGGCTAAAAAATCCAAACCCATCAATTCTTCTAAGATACAGATAGCATAAAAAACAGAAACCTTTAATGAAAATCGACGGTCAACAAGATCTGAGAAAGATTACAGCTTTCGAACCAAGCAGACGAGATATTAAAAAATATTCAATCGGGAGGATTACCATGATCGGAAAAAAGGTTTACCTTCACAGAAAATCCGACGGGCCGACGGCTGTTTTGGATTGTATCAGAGAGGAAGAAGAGACAGGAAACTAATTCCTTTTTGAGTATTGGGTTAGGCAGTGCCGTGGAATCGTCGTTAGCTTCCGCCAGCCGCCTTTATAAAGTCATCCGTTCGGGTTACGCTACTCTGTGCTGCCGAGCATGTTCTATTTTCTCCTAAGGATACGTGGCAGAATCACAAGTGATTGATCTGGGAAATCAAACAAATTATTAATTTAACAAATTTGGTGGACAATTTTTCTGATAAAATTTTAATTTCTGAGGTTCTTGGAGAAGCTCGTGGTTTTGGTTATAAAGTGGTGGATCCATAATAATTGTTTTAATTGTATAGTTAAAGTATTTTGTAATTTGAATTATATTAAATTATATGATATTTAAAATTAAATGAAATGAAATAAGTTTATTGATATTTGAAACTTTTTTTTCATTAATAACTTTTACCGAGTAATTTAGCTTGTTTTCTCCTTTTATAATATTTAAATTTCAAATCTTATTTAAAAATAATTAATAACGTTTTACTAAAATTAATAAATCGTTGGTATTAAATATTATCTTTTAAAATAACTTAAAAGTATTCTTGGTTTGAAAAAAATAGCTAGAAAAAATTTGAATTGAAATTAGGTTAGAAAATCTTTAGAAAGCCCTTAATAAATTAGTCAACTTTGTATCATGAAGAAAATGTGTAAATAATGATATTAACTTTATATTTTTTTTCTATTTAAATACGTTAACTTTGTTATTTTCTAAATAAAGATTTTAACTTTTAATTTTTTTCTATTTAAAAAAATTAATTTTCAAATTTTTTTATTTAAGGATATCAACTTTAAATATTTTTTATTTAAAGATTAATTGGATAATGATACTAATATAGCAAATGAATTTTTAA